AATTTCCCTTTTTTAATGCCAATAAACTTAAAGCGATCAGATCCAAACTAGGTAGAACTGTGCTATGGTAACCAGACTGAATATTAGAACGTATTCTGCTTTTAGGCACTACTTGGACTCAGGAATTGGTCTGGTTACTTTCAAATGATTTGGATTACAAAACGGCCGCAGCCATTCCACTTACAGAAAGATATCCATTTTTGGAGTAAGTAAATTGTATTAAAATTATCGATTTTATTAAAAAGAAAAACTTATAACGTACACTCTGTCCTGTCTAACTATGTCGTCTAACCCCGTAGAGTAAGTTTAGTTAAATGAATCGAAAGCATTTTTTTCTTAAAGCCGATCTGTAATCCAGAGGTTTATAGCCTCTGCCACATTGTGTTCACTAGCTGCGAACAATCGCCGAATCTGGTGAGAATGGCTTAAGCTTTTTCACGAGCCCTTATTGTTCAAAAGTTCAAAGTTGTTCCCGCGTTCAGATTTGTGGCGATCAGTTGTGATCTAGCTTTTTATATATATTTTTTAAATTTCTTACAGTTTATTCATGTTCGCCGAATAAACCATTTAGATGCACTTTTTAAACCTACTGATACAACAATAGACCTACCAAAAATTGAAGCAGTATTTGAAATATTTGGCCAGCCAGCAACTAGAATACTTGAAGCTATGCCAGTGTCGAACCCCTCGCTTCATAAAGACAACACTTACCAATGTCCTTGTTGAAACCTAGTTTGTTGGACACTGCAAAGTATGGTTTACGTTGCACGAGACCCAAGGGATGTGGTGGTTTCGTATTATCACCATTCTAAATTTATTTGATGATTATTTCAAGGTTTGAAGGAACTTTTAAAGAGTTTTGGAATTTATTCTACAAGGATTTGTGTAAGTAAATATGACCACAAATTTAAATTTTAAATGTTTATAACACTCCAATAATGGTAATCACTTGATACTTTTTCTTCAAAGAGATCTGTTTAACGTGTTTAACCACAGAGTAGAGCTGAAATACAGTACAAAAGTATACACATCAACATCAACTATTGATTAACTTTTAACATGAATGATTTATATATTTTAGGTATATTTTGTCCTATTTTTGAACATGTCAAAGAAGCCTGGGAGAAAAGAAACCATCCTAACATGCTATTTTTATTCTACGAAGACCTTTCCAAGGTATGTCTTTCATGAACCACTTTAAATTTTTACTAATACATAATTAACACATATTGGGGGTCTCCAATAAGAACGCCCGGGTTTAAAAAATTGAATAAAACACACAATTTTTTTAGAAAAATGCACCCGATTGATTTATTTGATAGATAATTTTTATGAAATTTTATTTTTTTTAAATAAATCGGCCAATGAAGCCGCCTCTTTTTGCAGGGGGTTTCTCACGCCAATTTTTCAATACGCGGTGCACCATTTCGGCCGGAAATGTGGTTTGGCTCGTCGAATTTTGGGTTTTTAGTTCACGAATTGTAGCTGGATTATTGCTGAAACATTTTCGTTTTAAAAGTAACCCCAAAGAAAATAGTCTAAAGGTTTTAAATCCACATCTTGGTGGCCAACTGACGATCCTTTCTTAAAATTTAAAACGACTCCCCAAATAATTCTATTTCTTGGGTAATGTGAGTGGTGCCCCGTTTTGTTGAAAAAAAAGGTCGCTCGCTTTTCCAGTAACGGGGTTTCCTTCGTCCTTTCAAAAAAGTACGGACCAATGTTTCCCCGTACCAAAAAACCACACCAAACTGTTTTTTTTTGCTGATGCAATGGTGATTCTGAACCACACGGGGTTTTTTGACTCCTCCAAATAGCGAAAAATTTTGTTTTTTAAACAAATCCATTGAGCCAGAAAGGGGGCCTCATCTGAGAAATCCCATTTCCAGTGCAAAAATCGGAATTTCCGACGGATAAAATGGTCGGAGGGGTTTCAATTTTTGGGCCAAAACAATTTTGCAGGGTGTAGGCCAAACCCAACTGCAAAAAACCCAGGTGGTCATTGAGGAGCCCCCTCTTGGGACGGCTTTGTGACCCGTTTGAATTTGCTAAACATGCCCTGAACGGCGCGATATTCTCTCTCTCTTCCTCTCTTATTCCTGGGGCTTTTTTGTCTCACGGGCACAGCATACCCGGGGAGTGAATTCACTTTCAAATTTTGTTTCATCGATTTTGCGCGACGAAGGAGCACTATGACGCCCTTTTTTTGCGGAAGCGCTTTACTGTAGCGGTAGGAGAATCGAATTTTGGTAATAAATTTTGGACAATTTCCAAGCGTTGGTTTTAAAGTGAAACGTACATGATAAATGGGAAACCCCCCGAACCAAATGTCAGGACGTCAAAATCCTCCAAACTGGCCCCATGACTGTCAAAACCCGGGCATCCTATTGGTAACCCTTTATATCACTGCGCTCTTCCCCACCCAAAGGCGAAAAACTACACCAAGTTTTTACGTCACGATTTCTATTTAAAAAAAAAAGTTACACGTTTTTCATCTGCAATGTAGCTTTAACTCAATTTGCAAAAAAACAAGCCAAAATACAAAGTTTCATTGAAAGGAAATCGGGCTTTAAAGGGCCCGCTAAAAAATTGAAATTCTTTTTTTCGCTAATAGGGACAAATTTTACTCTATAAAATACTTTTTTATGTTATAGGCGTGAACGAGCAGTTACCACCATTCCGGGCAAGTTTGTGCTTAAGATGGGTCTCCTACGATTAGTATTTCCCATAATTTAAATCTTTTCCGTATTTAGTTGTCAGTTCTTCTAAAGTGTGCATTTTTTTTATTTTTAAGTGCAAGGCGTAATGTAAAACTAATTTTTTTAAATTTTGCCTTGTAAAAGAATTTACTATGTCGAACCCAATGAATAATAAATATCTTCTTTCACTGGCCAATTTCCTGTACTTTCTTGACATATAATTGATTTGCCGTAATGAAATCTGAGTTTTTTATTCCCGATTCCCCTGTGATCTGCTCTATTGAAAAAAGGCTTCTTTCAAAAACTCAGTTCTCCTCTTTCAGAACTCAACATAAAGAAGAATTTGTCCGCCCAAAGGGTTAGATGGCCCTGCCGGGGAAAAACTGGGGGATTTTTTTGGGGGAATGTGTATAACCAACTTTTTAAATTCACTACAAATGTGGGATCATTAGAAAACTGCGTATTTTGTTAACTTAATATCGACTTAAAAGTACTAAAAAGGGGAGTTAAAATTTATTTTCAGGATTTAAAATTTTCTTCTAAAGTGGGGTTTTCCCGTTTTTTCTAGGTAAAAAAAAAACCCCCAAAGGGGAAATTCAGTGCCCCTTTTATGAACATCTAAGTTTTGACAATTTTAAAAAAAAAAATTTCATTTAAATTTTGAAGACAGAAAAAATTTGGGAAATAACTTGCACCTACCGAAAGTTTTGTCAAAAAGGGTTTAACGCCCGAAATTTTTTTAAAAAAAAAATTTTAAATTTTAATCATGTGTGCAAAAGTTTTAGAACAAAAATCCCTCCGAGCGGATGGGCGAGCCCGGGAAAAATGTGTAAAAAGATTTTTTTTCCGCATTTTGTTACTATATTTAACCGCTTAGACCAACGAAAACGAAAAACCCGAAACCGACCCTTAAGGGGGTTTTTGAAACCCCAATAGAAAAGTGTTCAAGAGGAAGGGTTTTATATGTATCCCCCTTATACAAAAAAAAAAAAACAGATTTTGGGGGGTCCCTTTTGTCACGAAGTCACAATCTGATGACCCCTTTGGAAATCCAAAAACAACCCTCAAATTTTTATAGGCACGTTTTAAATGTTTATATTTTTTTTGAAGCTTCCTAAAATTTGCGTTTTTAGTCACTATCTCGTGTTGATGAGCTTTTGATGGAAGGAAAAAATATTTAAAAAGTTGGGAGTTGGAGGTAGTTCTTAAATACCTTTCTTTTTAAAAAGGAATACAACTAAAAACTTCCATCTTTCTTAAAGAATACCCCAAAAAGGGCCCTAAACATACATATTTTTAGCTTTTAGTTGTATTCTTTTAATTTTTAGATGGGGTTTAAAGGGAATTTTTTAGATGATTCTTTAAGAAGCCGCCTAGAAAACCGGGAAAAAAAAGGGAAAGATAGGGGCACGGTTCCCCTCAGGGAAAACCTTCTTTTGTTTTGGGGGCCGGCCCACATCCCATAATTTTTTTAACAAAATATTAAAAATTTTACCTTCTGAAAAGAGATTAAGGGAAAAAACGAAATGTAAACGTAGAAAGGGGTTCTGAAAAACCCAGACTATAAGGCAACTAAAACAAACTTTTTAAATTCACCTACTTAGGGGTTTTTTCCGGTCTAATAGCGCAGCCCTGGGGTTTAAAAAACCAATTATATCAGCTCGCGCCGCAGCCTGAAAACATTTCTTCCTTTTAAATTCTCGCAGCATAACTCGAAACCTGCAAAATCAAACTAACACATCTTAAAAAATTAGCACAGTACCCCTCCCCCCTACACACCTTAACTTAAAAACTTCCACTGCCCCAACATTATCCACACAAACACTCCAAAGCTTCGGTTTCTCCCAAACTTTAAATTTAGGGTTTAAAAAATTTTTTTTATTAATTTTTTGATTTTTTCCTAACGTCTTTTGCTTCTAATCAAACTACAGGGGGGAGGGGCCTGGGACCCTTTAAAAGGGTGGGATTAGCACAAACCTCAAAAAGGGACTAGTCTCCCACAAAAGTTGAAATGTATTGGGTTTTGTAATTTTTTAATTTATAGGGAAAAAAAAGAAAATGCAAAAAATTTAGGGTTTTTTTTACAACCTTCACTACGTACCCAAACTGGGGTTCCCTTGGGGTTCAATTTAAAATTTTTTTTCAATTGCTTTTTTGGCTTTGTGTGGCTCTAAGTCGGGAAAAAAGAAAAAACCTTTATTATGCCATCTTTATGCATTTTAAAAGCAACATAAAATTGCCCTTTTGGGGAATTTTGGGGAATGCCCGTAGTTTATTACGGGAATGCCCAACTGAGGATTTAAAAGTAGCATTCTCCGGGTTTAAAATCCCCCTAGCTTTTTGTTGCTTGATAGGTTTTTAAAAAAAAGGGGAAATAAACCCGGCCCCCTTAAACTTGGACAGATACTTGGGGCCAGGCCTTTTCAACAGAAATGTTGCGCCCAAGTAAAACCCGGAAACCTAACCAGTTTTAATACGTGCATCAAAACAAACCCCGTTATTCCCCTTAGCAGGAAAAAACCCTTTGAAAGGGGGGACCCTTTTTGTAGGGTTGGCTACCTCTTTGCGACTTAAAATTAATTTGTTTGGGAAACCTTTCTATTATTATTTACACAAATACTGAAAAAAACAAAAAAAAAAAAGCAACCATAATGCGTTATAAAACATGTGGGAATCGACCATAGTGATCTCAAAAAATTAGGATGGTTTGGGTAATAAAATCGAGCTAATATGTAAAAAAAAAAATTGTGTGTTGGCATCGACCTCAAACAGTTTTTAGGGTACGTAGCACACTTTTAATATTATTTTTTTTAAAAATTAATTTTTTAATTAAAAAATAAATAGGAAATTAATTAGGTTTAGA